ATCAACCTAGGCCAAGTAGGAAACCTGAGCTTCTATCTCCACCTGGTATGAGGCTGTAATAAGATGGAGCCACCCCTCCCTGCTGGAGCCGTATCCAAAAAAAAAGGCAGTTAAAAAAGATTTAAATAGGATAGAACATACAAAACATAACATGACATAATATGAAAATGACCAGGTTTCAATAAAAAAACAATTCATCATATCAAAAACCAGGAATACCTCGAACTAAATAAAAAAGGACAAACAATAGATTGTCATCTCAGCACTGATATTACAATTATCTGACAAAGTTCCAGAAGGTTGGGGGGAGGGGGAAGTATGACTAAAAAATTACCTTAAGAAATAATGACTGAAAATTTTCAATTTTAGCCAGAAACATAAACCTATCAATTTAAGAAGCTAAATGAATACCAAATAGTAAAAACTGAAGAATACAACTAGACACCTCATAGTCAATCTTCTGAAAACTAAAAATAAAGTATCTTGAAAACAGTGAAAAAGAAAAGACCCCTTACCTATAAGAAGAAAAAACAAAAAACACCTGAAATAATAGCAGATTTCTCATCAGAAACCATGGACACCAGAAGGAAGTGGTACAATATTTTTACTTGCTGGAAGAAAAGAACTGGCAACCCAGAATCTTATACCCAGTGAAAACATCCTTCAGAAATGAAGGAGAAATCAACACATACTCAGATGAAGGAAAAGAGAATTTGTCATCACCAGACCTACCCTACAAGGAAGGCTAACCACTGTGCTGGTCAACTGAAACTAATATAAAATAAAATTGAATGTCAACTGTAATATTTTTAAAGTAAATTAAGAAAAAGGAAAATAATAGAGAAAGAAAGAAAGGAGAAAGACTGAAGAAAGTTCTCTAACCAGAACAGAAATGATAAAAGAAGGAACTTTAAAACATCAGAAAAAAAGAAAGAAATCAATAAGTGTAGGGAGCCGGATATCAGCACTACGGGTTAAGCCTGAGAGCTGGAGGTTTACAGTAAGGGTTAAGCCTGAAAGCTGGCAGGCTGACAGGCTCTCAGGCCCGGGTGAGCAGCATGGGAATGTTGGCCCCTGAGGAGAAAACAGCCAACAGCCTTGAAAGCTACAGAGTGGGATGCCATCCTGTTAACAGTTTCTGCTTGCTGTGTTTTGCTTTACTCTGGGAAGATTGCTTCCCCACACCCCATGGAAAGCCCCAGGGAAGGTGTTCCCTGTGAGGACCGGACTATTCCCTCAAGTTCCCCAAAACTCCCTACCCTAGGAAAGTTACTTTTGCTATGAAAGCTGTATACAAATAACAAACAAGGCCATTCTCTGCCATCAGCATTGGGTGGACCTCCTGTCCCCAGCTTTCGTCTCTAGTCTCTTTCTTTTCCAGTCTCCCACCCAATCCTCTCAGGCACTCTCTCGGTAGACTGCTGGCTGACGAGCTGATGAGTCGGAGTACTCGTTTGGTGCATGGGTTGCATCAAATAAGTAAAGTGTGGGAGAATAAAATTTCCTCCTCTTTTTGAGTTATTTATATATACAGACACACACACACACACACACACACACACATACACACACACATATATATATATATGAAAACTGAAGGAAAAAATTATAACACTATCTGATGTGTTTCTAAATGTATGCAGAGAAAAAATTTAAGACAATTATAACTGGGGAAAGGTAAAAGGACATCAGTGGAGGTAAGGCTACGATACTTCATTCAAACTGGTAAAATATCAGCACCAGTAGACTGAATATAATACAGAGGTTGCCACAAAAATGTATACACATTTTAAGAAAGAAAAACTGTATTAAAATTGTAATGCTCAATATACACCAATGACAAAAGATGAATACAAGTTATGTTTGGCTTCTGCAATTACAAGAGGTGCTCAGAGTGGTTACCATCAGCTTCCAGACACTTCTGATTACGGCGAACTACTGCTTGAACAACGTTGACCAAAGTGTCCACTTGTATACATTTTTTGGTACCCTCTGTATATACATATGATGCAATAGAGAAACTACTAGAAAAGCTATACAAAGAGATACACTCAAAAACACTATAGATAAATAAAAATGGGATTGAACAAAATGTTCCAGTAACCCACAGTAAGCAGGGGGGAAAAAACAGAAAACTGAAAAACAGAACAAATAAAAGTAAAAATCACAGAATTAAGCTCTAACAGACATCAATAATTATACCAAATGTAAATGGTTTACAGATACCAATTATATAACTGATTACCAAGGTGAATTAAATGCTTGCTACAAAAAATTCACTTAAAATATAATGATATAGGCAGGTTTGCAGTAAGAGGATAGAAAAAGATATATCATGCAAATATCATCCAAGGGAAATCAGGAATGACTATATTAATATTAGATAAAGCAGATTTCAGAGAAAAAAATTACCGGAGACAGAAAGGGACATTATATAAAGATAAAAGGTCAGTCTACCAAGAAAACATAGCAATCTTAAATGTAAATGTACCAAATACAGTGTTGAAAAATTTATGAAGCAAAAAATGGTAGAACTGCAAGAAAAATTAGATAAATCAACAATTATAGTTGGAAACCTCAACATCCCTCTCTCAACAATTGATAGAATAACTAGACAGAAAATTAGCAAGGGTAGAAAATTAGCAATGACAACATAAACCAATAGAACATAATTGGCATTTATAAACAAACAACAACAGAATATACATGCCTTTCAAGAGCCCGTGGAACATATACCAAAAATAAATGCATATCCTGGGTGATAAAACAAACCTCAACAAATCTAGAGAAACTGAAATATTACATACTATATTCTCTGACCACAATGGAATTAATTTAGAAATCAGTGACAGAAAGATCATAGGAGAATCGCCAAATACTTGAAAACCAAACAACATACCTCTAAATAAACCATAGTTAAAAGGGAAGTCTCAAAGTAAATTTTTTAAAAACTACAATATTGCCACAGGGATATGAAAGACAGTTTGGGGAATATAATCAATAATATTATAAATATTTTGTAGGGTGTCAGATGGACACAAGACTTGTTAGGGAGACCACTTCATGGATGGTGTAGAAGCTTGCCCACTGCACTGTACAGCTGAAGCTGATGCTGTATAATATTGTATGTCAACTTTTAAATATATATATATATTTATAGTCAAGGGATGTGGAGTATAGTGTGGAGAGTGGAGTCAATAGAATTGTGATAGATATGTATGATATTGGGTATTGGGGGGGAGTGGATTGGGGGAGGAGGGTTGTCACTTTGTGAGGGGTGAACAGCATAATTATTGCATTGTTTTGTATACCTGAAACTAATAAAAAAATGTTTTTAAAAGAGAGTGAAAATATATGTCAAAATATGTGAGGCATAGCTAAAGCAGTGATGAGGTAAATTTATAACACTAAATGCATACATTAGAAAAGAAGAAAAGTCTCAATCAATAATCTATGCTCCCATTACAAGAAAGCAGAAAAAGAGCAAAATTAACACAAAGTAAGCAAATGGAAGAAAATAATAATAAGGAGCAGAATCAATGAATTAAAAAAAAACAAATAAAAAAACAGAAAAAGCTGATTCTTTGAAAAAAATCAGTAAAATGGACAAACCTCTAGCAAGACTGACAAAGAGAGAAGATACAATCACCAATATCATAAATGTAACAGAGAGTTATAACTACAGACCCTGAAAACATCAAAAGGATAAAGTACAATAAGTCCTCACTTGACATTGTCAATAGATTCTTGAAAAGTGCGACTTTAAGGGAAATGATATATTTAAAAAATTTTTTACTATAGGCTAATTAATATAAACAAGATTTAAGTTCCTATGACATATTTCTGGTCACAAAACAGCACCAACCTTCTAAATAAAGACCCAAAACATTTCTAATATTAAATATTGAAATAAATGTTGCTTATACCAAGCTGCTTATTCCAGTTCAAAGTCACAGATGGCCAGAGTCCATCTTGGCAGTTCAGAGTCCATCTTGGCAGTTCAGGCCAGAGTCCATCTTGGCAGTTCAACCCTTGGACAAGATGCCCTTCCATGGCAGGGTCACTCACACACACGCCACACTCACTCAAACTGGGACAACTTAAATAAGCCAATTTACCTCACCTGCACATTTTTGTGATGCGGGAGGCAACCGGAGTACCTGGAGTACATAAACATGGGGAGAACATGCAAAGTTCACACAGACAGTGGCCATGGCTAGGAATTGATTTTTCTTTTTATGAATGTTATAACAAAATGATGTTAAACAAAATGACATTTTTTGAGGACCTGTTGTAAATACTACAAACAATTTTACACACATAAATTTGACTTAGACAAAATGGACCACTTTCTCAAAAAAATACAAACTACCACCACAACTCACCAATATGAAATACTTTAAATAGTCTGTCACTATTAAGAAAATTGAATCATAATTTTAAAATTTCCCCAAGCCAGTTCCAGGAGGGTTTCACTATAGAATTCTACCAAACATTAAAGAAGTAACACCAGTTGAAAAACAAAACAAAACTCTTCCAGAAATAAAAGGAGGGAGAACTTTCTAATTAATTTCATGAAGCTAGTATTGCCCTAATACAAACTCTAGACAAAGAGAGTACAAAAAAACAAGGGAAAAGTATAGAAAAATCTCTCTCATCACTGTAGATGATCACCAAAAAAATGTTAGGAAATAGAATTAAGCAATATATTAAAAGATTACAGACCAAGTTCAAATGGAGTTTACCCAGTGATGCAAGGCTGGTTAAATAATTGAAAATCAATCAATATAATCCACAGTATTAGCAGACTAAGGAAGAAAAATCACATATCATATTAATCGATTCAGAAGAAGCATTTAACAAAATTTATCACCAACTCATGATTTAAAAAAAAATTCCCAGAAAAATAATAGAGAGTAACTTCCTAAACTTGATAAAGAACACCCACAAAAATCTTGCAGTTAACATGATGCTTAATGGTGAAAGACTGAATGTTCTACCTCCGAGATCAGGAACACAGCAGGATATCTGCTTCCAGGACCCTTCACCACAGTGCTGAAGTTCTAGTCACTGTAAGAAAACAGGAAAAAGGAATAAAAGGTATGTATGTTGGAAGGGGAGAAATAATGTAAAATAGTAGAGTCACTCTGGAAAACAGTTTGTCAGATTTTTAAAAAGTTAGACATGTAACTAGCATGTGGCCCAGCAATTGCACACCTGGGTATTTATTCCAGAGAAATGGAGACTTACATTGACAAAAAAAAGACACCTATATACCAATGTTTATGATGGCTTTATTTGTAACAACCCAAAACTGGAAACAATCTAGACATCCTTCAACCAGAGATTGACTAAATAAATGGTTATGACCATACCGTGAAATACTACTTCGTGATAAAAAGGAATCGACTATTGATAATGCAAAACCTAGATAAATTTCTAGAGAATTATTCTGAGTGAAAAGGCCAACCTCAGAAGGTGATATACTGCATGATTCCACTTATATAACATTCTTAAAATGACAAAATTATAGAAATAGAGAGCATATTAATGGTTGCCAGGAGTTAAATGGAGGGAGTGGAGGGTGGGACGGAAGTACGTGTGACTATAAAAAGGCAATATGAGGTATTCTTGTGGAGATGGAAATGTTCTCTTCCTTGACCTCAATGTCAATATCATGGATGTGATACCATACAGATTTACAATATGTTGCCATTGGAATAAACATGGTAAAGTGTGCAAGAGGTTGCTCTGTAGTATTTCTCACAACTGCATATGACTCTACAATTATGTCAAAATAAAAGAGTTTAATTTAAAAATGACTTTAAACTGTATTATATATGGTTCCTTTTGTGGAAAATTAAATACATCTGCATACTTATATGTACAATCAAGCAGTCTGGAGATATGCTCACCAAACTGTTCACAGTAATTGTCCTTGGGTGTGGGGTTTCAAGGAATTCTGCTATTTTTCTTTTTGAATTTTAAAATCTTATACGAGTAATATGCACAATACATAAATATTCTTATTGTAAAATCATAAAAGAAAAAATTAAAAGCAAATTGTCTCCCAAATCAACTCTCCTCTCCAAAGATAATAATTATTAGCATTTTGGCCTGTATTTTTCTAGACATAATTCTATATTGCATATATATATATATGTGAATATACAGAGGGTGCTAAAAAAATTGTACAGACACTTTAAGAAAGGAAAACTGTATTAAACTTCTAATACTCAATATATACCAATAACAAAAGATGAATACAAGTCACGTTTGACTTCTGTAATTACAAGAGGTGCTCAAAGTGGTTACCATCAGTGTCCAGACACTTCTGATTACGGTGAACTACTGCTTGAGCAATGTTGACCAAAATGTTCACTTGTATACATTTTTTGGCACCCCCATATATATTTTTTTCAGGATCATTTACAATAAATAAAATTATACCTGTAATTCAGTTACATTTTTCAAAAATATTATTAGAAGATATTTCTATGTCTGCAAACATTCATTACTTGACTTTTTAACTAGGGCACAGTTACCCATAATTAATCTAATTAGTTCATAAGAGTTTAGATTATTTTCCATTTTTATAATTTTGTACAATGCCATATGACAGTCTTGCAAACCTTTTTGCAGTTATAAAAATACTTCTATAGAATCAATTCTTAGAGATGAAATTGCTAGGTCAAAGTATATACTCATTTCAAAATTTGAAAGAAAGTACCAAATTATCCTCTAAAAAAAAATTAGACAAAATACACACCTTCCAACAGCAAATGAGAATATCTCTTTCAAAATATATTAACACAGAATATTAGCAATCTAATATTTAATTTTTAAAAATTTTAATCAAGAAAATGCAAAAATAAACATTAATATATTTTTTTCATGCCCAGCAAGACAGAAAACCAACCAACCACACAAACAAAAAATTGGCTTCATTTCACTTCCTTCCTACACTTCCCATACCAGCTCTACCAGCACTTACATTAGAATCATCTGTGGTTTAAATTTCAGATTAATTTTAAACATATACACCAAGGATTTAGACTTTATTAGCTTTACTGGTACTTTTGTTCTCCAGTATTACTTGCATCCCTTGTTTTTCTCTTCCTTTTACTTCCTTTTGTTTTTACTAGAATATGGCCTCTCAAGCAAGTCTTTCAAATGGGATCTATGGCTGGGAAAAGTTCTAAGCCGTGGCACATACACAAACATCCTTAGTCTCTACTCATGAATGCTACTTCCCTGGGAATAGACTTCTAAGTTTAAAATAGTTTTGTCTCAGAATTTTGAAGACCCTCTTCTATTGTTTAATGTACCCAGTAAAGCTCAATAAAAGCCTGATGACAACATGGTTTTTCACTCATTTGTGCGTATGCTGCTGTCTCTGAAAGCCTTTAGACATTCCTCTTTATCCTTGGAGAGCTCATCTTTCACTAGTGTCTAGTTGTCTCTTTTTATACACCCTGCTTAGTGTCACATGGTCTTTTCAACCTAAAGACATGCTGCCTTTCCTCAGTTCTAGAAAATTTTCTCCTCTTATTTAATTGATCATTTTCTTCCATCTGTACTCTTCCTGAGGCATTGCTCTTACATGGATACGGGTATTCAAGATTTATATTTTATTCCTTTTAAGGATTATCTCTTATTTTCTGTAGTAGGTAGAATAGAGCATCTCCCCCACTCCACATAAGGTCCACATAGTACTATCCAAAAGCTGAAAATGTGTGCCTTACATGGAAAAGGAGACTTGGCAGGTGTTAAGTTCAAGATTTCGAAATGGGAAGATTATCCTGGATGATCTGGGTGGACCCCACATAATTGCAAGAGTTCTTAAAAGAGAGAGGCAGGAGTATCAGTCAGAGAAGGTGACAACAGAAGCAGAGGTCAGAGACAAAGGGAGAGAAACATTTGAAGATGCTATGATTCTGGCTTTTAAGATAGAGGAAGCTGGCTACAAACCAAGAAATGTAGGTGTCCTCTAGAAGTTAGAGAATAATCTATCGTAGAGCCCCGAGAAGGAATGCAGCCCTGCCGACGACACCTTGATTTTAGGACTCTGCCCTCCAGAACTGTAAGATAATATGGGTTGTTTTAAGACACTAAGTTTGTTGTCATTTGATACAGCAGCAATAGAAACCTAATGCACTTTCTTATTAACCCTCTGTTGTTTTGCATTGCTTTCTGTGTGAACTACTCACTTCATTATACAGTACAGCTAGGTGGTTTTCAACTCTGTCCTTTCAACTATTTAACCTATCGATTGAAATGTTTTATATTGGTTATGATTGTTTTTATTTGCAAGAGCTCTACCTGGATTTTCCCCTCCTTTAGAGGACCATTTGTTTTTTATAGATGTAATATCCATTCAAATCTGAAATCATTAATTATGCCTATTATAAAGGTTTCTTTATTTATCTGTATTATCTTCACTTCCTCAATGTCAGTCTCCATTTGTTGAGTTTGACAGCTCTTGCGGTACTGTTTCCCTTAAATATATGGTGACTCACAGTTGTTTGCTCTTCATTGTATTTGAAAATCTTGCTCATTTGAGTGATAGTTCTGGTTAATCTAGCCGGTCCGTGGTGATTTTAGGAGAGGAACAATAAAGACACTTGGACAGAATGAATATCACTTATCATTTGAGGCAACAGAATTCTTTCCATAGATCATGACACATTATGAAAAATACAGACCAGTGCAGCATGAGTACTGACAATCAGAGCAAACACCAGTCAGTATGCCATACCTACTGGGGCACACACACAGATACCAGCCAGAATTCTCCCTTTCCCTCTAAGAAGTCCTAAGTTGTCTGGACTTCTCCCTCTTCAGAAAGCTAAATTTATGTGTCCACCTTGGGGTAAATTCTAGAGTAACTTTTTCCCTTTTTATTATTTTTTTAAGTGAGGTGGATGTGTGTGTGTGCATGTGCTTGTATATTTGGGTCTTCTTTGTTGCGTTGTCTATTCTTGTAGGGATCTGGAGGTATTTCAGCATTTACTTCTATTGGGTTTTCAGAAAAGTCATGATGCATGTTTGTGACAGATGGCACTAGTTCATTTTTGGAAGTACTAGAGTCATCCGCATCTATGTTATTGCATGTCATTTGACAGATGACAGTTCTAGCTTCATTCTAAAAAATAATTGAGCGATTTGGTTGAGTTTTGGAGATTTTACAACAAGTTGAAGATGGAAGACCAAACTGCATTTTTGCCATATTTTACTGTTTTACTTCCATAAAGGGAAGAATGCGTGTCAAGCTTGTGAAAAGTTGCATAAAGTTTATGGTGACAGTGCTCTACAAGAACGTCAGTGCCAACGATGGTTCACAAAATTCTGCACTGGTGATTTTTTTGTAGCTGAGCCATCCTGCCACCTGTTAGCAGCTCAGTGGCAGCTCAGCTTGGGCTGGGCTTCAAACCACTGTTTCTCAGAGCTCAAACTCTTGAGCGAGCTCTTAACCAACTGAGCCATTTGGCTGGCCCTCCGTGCTGATGATTTTGATCTCAACGACGCTCCTTGGTCAGGGAGGCCCACCGAGGTTGATGATGACAAAATAAAGTCACTGATGGAGTCAAACCCAGGTTACACAGCATGAGACATTGAAGGAACATTGAACATCCATCATTCAAGCATTCATGACCACCTGAAGAAGCTGGGATACATAAGCAAGCTCGATATTTGGGTTCTGCATGAACTCAAAGAAGTTTATTTGACGGTGCCTATAAACATCTGCAATATGCTCATTAAACACGAGAAAAACGATCCTTTTTTGAAGCAACTGATAACTGGTAATGAGAAGTGGATTATTGACAACAATGTGTTGTGCAAATGGTCTTGGTTTTGACGTGATGATTTGCCTCAAATGACATCGAAAGCAGACATTCATCAGAGGAAGGTTATGCTCTCAGTGAGGTGGGATTTTAAAGGTGTGTTTTTTAAGCTCCTACCAAGGAACCAAACAATTAATTCACATGTGTGCTGTCGGCAATTGGACAGTTTGAATGAATCCATCATTCAGAAACGTCCAGAGCTTGTTAATTATAAAATAGTTGTGT